TAATGTATATAAAAATACAATAATTTTTGAGTATGAAAATACAATAACTGCTGTGGGAGTTTCTCTAACCGACAACCATCACATGGAGCTATAGTGATGATACAACGATCGACCTCACGCTGCCAGAGCATCTTATACCTGGCCAAAGAAATAAGACCTGAACTGCCTAATGGATCCACTAGTCTAATCTGAAAAGGATTCATCTAAAAAGTATGATCCTTTTCTACCCATGGTGGCTAACATGGTTCTATGGGGGTTGTGGGTTCCTTGAACGCTCCCCCAACTCGGTGCTCGATACTACTCCCAAAATTCTTTTGACTCATAAGTGTTTAAAACACATCTTTCTTTAGTTTGAGATAATTGCTTAAAACCTAGCCCAAAGGCTCTCTTGGAATCAATGTTCCCTTTACTTTGCTCAAATGTGAAAACATTTATAAACTTCTTTGGAAATACTTAGTTCCTTAATAGCTTTTAAGAAATGAACTCAACTTTAAACTCTTGACTCAACTTGAAACTTGAGACCTCTTACTTAGCTTGAAACTCTAAACTCTTTACTTGACTTGAAACTCTAAGATCTTTGCTTGACTTGAAACTTGAGTCTAAAAATGAAGTTAAAACGTTCAATAAAGACTCTTGAACAACCTTGAGGACTTTCTTGACTTACTTCTTAACTCTTGAACTTAACTCTTAGCTTCACTTGACTTCTAACTTCACTTGACTTGGAAGCTAACTCTCCCTTGAATTGGATTTATGGATTTAAAATGTACCTTAGAGTGTTGGAAACAACTATAAAACATAGGTACAATACCAAGGAACATGCATGGGAAGGCATGGAGAGAAAGGGAACACTTGGTGTCCTTGGCGCTCTGCAAGGCGCGGAGCGCCAGCCCCAAAACTTCAGAGGGGGCCTGCTGGCGCTCTGAGAGGCGCGCCGCCCCAAGGGGGAAACTTCAGAATCCCTTTTGGGACGCGCTGGCAGGCGCGACGCATCAACCCCTTTGCCCAGAAACTCGACTTTTTCTCCCTCCTTTTCCAACTCTAAACCACCCTAACTTCAAAGGTTTCAACCCCAACCACTAAGGATCATCAAATCCCTCAACATAC